AAAAAAAAAAAAAAAAAAACCGTCTTAATATAAGATTTTAGTTTTTACGGAGTACTTTATGAAGATCACAGGATATGAATTTAATGCCCGGCAGCTGTAGGATTGCTGCAGGCTGTGTTTGGAAATCTTTTGAAGATTCCTGAAAGCTTGAATAAAGAAGGACTAGAATGTAGCCACTGTATTATAACTTTCCTGTTTTTGTTTTCGAAAAAATGTGAAAACATATTTCACATGGCAAAAGAAAGGAAGATGAGGAAAAAAAAACAACAGGAGAATAGATTGACATCTTGAAAATAATATTAAACCTGGAAGAACGGAAAAAATGAAGGCGACTTGTTTTCTTGGGGGAGCACGTCCTTTAGTGACGGACCATGATATTTATGAGGGTGCTGAGCAATTTTCTGGCGCATGAAATTTTTTTCTTACCTTTAGGTTGTGCATGAGTTTTTTGGTAGGCAATAGCTTATGCAATAATTTTTTTAATGTCAACGCTCAAAATAATGATAGCAGAAAGCTCTTGCTCGTTGTTTTTTTCCCATGGCACGATATTTTTCAGCAGTTTTTGCTGTGCAAGAATCTTTTCGGAAATCACCCAGCCACCTCCCAAAAAATAATGGTCCGTCCCTTAGTACATGTTCTTCATCAGGGATTTTGTTGCTTTTTGCGAGATTTAATTTTTTGGGGAGGTAAAAAGTAACTAAATTACTTGCAACATGCGTAAATTAATGTGCAATTTACAAAACACTACCTCCCCCCGCCAAATCAAATTTAGCGTGTGATGTGTCCCCCCGTTAAGTAGAATTTCGTACTCAGTCTTCCGATGTAAACAAGATAGCTGGCGATGTTCGTAGGTCTTTGAGTTCCTCGTCCCCATTTAGATTACAATGTCCTCTAAACTGGAGCGAACGCCTTCGGTGGAGCGTGTTTCGTCGCTTGCGGAGGTTGTGGAGATAATTCTGTCGTTTCTGCCCGCAAAAGCGCTTTTCACGTGCGCTCAAGTTTGCCGCTTATGGCGCGACACTGCCAGACGAATTATTCGCTCACGAAAAAGATTAGGGTGGCTAAGTTTTGTGGCCCATCATGAAATTCACGGCACCCCGTGCACGTCCAAGGTAAGGAAAGCTGAAGTTATTTCATTGTGGACCAAGGATGTTATCAAATGAGACACAAAACCATCCCCAAGTTATCTTGCAATACCAGAAATAAGATGATAGCTGAAGCTAAAACTACACAACCTTCTGTTCTAGAATTAGAATCTCGAGGCCTTTGATTGTATTCTTAATTGCATTCATTTGTCGTGTTTCCTTTAGTCGGTGTTACTTCGTTCGAAACTGTGATTAATTAGCTTATGTAATCATTTTGGACCAAAACCAAATAAGAAGTTCATCTAGGAAACGGAACTGTTTGAAGATGGAAAGCGGACAGTCAGTGGCTTTAATGTTAAAATATATTAAAGGATTTGTTTGCCGTCGTTTTTGTCACATTCAGCGTTTTTCTTTCGAACAACAGTTTGTTACACAGAAGTAACATGATCTGAATGTGACAGTGCCGTCTTTTTAATTTATATAAGGCCATGAAGTTGGTATGGATGTATGAACCCCCCCCCATATACTGAAACGGCACAAATTATTTAACAAAAATAATAATTAAATTGTTATTAATTCATTGAGTTCAAACTGTTTTCCTTGCTCTTGCAAAATTAAATTTTCAAGTGTTGTGAAAAACTAACCCAATGTGCAATGAAATATATATGAAAACCATTGGCTTCCCAAAAGATATTTCTGTTGAGCTATCAGGTTTTCTAAAGAAAAAAAAAATAAAAGTAAATAAAGTACTAAGAAGTCAAAACGCTATTAATATGCACCTGCCTGAAAACGTGCAGTGAAGGATCAGATTTCAAGATGTGTGTGTGTGTCTGTATTTGTTCTGTCTGGATGAAGCCACGTGGAAAGCAAAACTGTGTATAAACATCAATTATTACATAACAGACAGACAGTATTGATTTTAGAGACAAAACTTTCATGCGAGACATAAGTGCTGTACTTGCTACAGAAACAAAGGAACTTTCAATTTTCTTTCAAGCAAGTATATTTTTGCCCAGGCCATGTGCTAGATAATTCAACAGTTCACATGCCATGACATGAGGCATGCATTATGCCATTATAGCAAACTCTTAACTGATCAACTCCATTGTGTTCAACTCTTTGAACATTTTACAATGAATTACTTATTAATTATTGCATGCAGCCTAATCAGAAGTGTTTGAAACTTGTTGACCATTACATAAAAAATAAATAAATTAAACCTGCTCCTTGTGCATTGTCAAATAGAAAAGTTTACATTTTGTGCATAATTGTTGTTGTCTTATTTAAACACAAGTGGAGGTTTTGGGGAATGAGAAATGTTGTGGGAACATGAATCATAGGTGAGAATTTTCAATGCAGCTGTCCTCAGAAGGCCCCATGTACCTCTCAGTAAGCTCATCAAGATTGGCGAAGGAAACATTAGAACAAACAACGGAAACAATGAACCTAAAATCAATTATTGTTATAGAGGTGTGTGAATTGGGAAGTGAATGAAATTACAGGTTCTGTAGGCTAGGGGTGCATTGGGGGACTCCCAAATAAAAAAAAAAGAATGGGGGTGCTAGTCGTATCTTTTAGGGGTTAAAAGTGCAGTTTTGATACCACTTCAACCTCAAAAAGTCCACAGCAGGAGCTTTTGTGGTATGTTTTAGGCTATTGGGCCGAAAAAAATATGGCAGAAGATGATGCACATGTTCTTAGCAGTGAAAAACATATATCAAGCCACACCCACAGAACAGAGAGTAGGAGTAGTCCGTCTTTCGCTTAGTCCATTGTGCATAGCGTGAAGGTAAACTGTGAGAAAAAATGGTCCTGCAAACTCCTGTGGGCAAGATGCATGCAAAAGGAGGGACTACCAACAAAGCCAGAGAGTTTGACCTTTCATGGCCGAGTGATTTTTCAGTGTAAATTTTCAATCTTATTGCATTTATCCAATGGGATTCCTTATCTTGACGTCCTCTCATTATCGCCTGTTGTCAATAACCCTGGGGGATGAATCACTCTTCTCTTCAAGTAGCGAGGTAAAACCATGCTGTGAGAAGTATGGTGTATATCTTCATTCAGTGTTCGTTAAGCAAAGCTGCCAAAGTAGTTTTGAAAACAAGACGGTAAAGGAGGTGTCTTGTAATGATTTTTTGCTGCGTCTGTAGGTGTAAATTGAAAAGTTATTGTGAAATTTCAAATGCAGAGTTTCAACCAAGAATTTACATATTACGTATCTGACGTAGGAGATCATCCAACTGACAGTGGTGACATGTTTAACGATTAAGCGGTGGAAAATACTTTGATTTGCTCCTGTTCTAAAGCTTTTAATGATAGAAGCTTTCTATGTTTAGAAAGCGAGATAAACATTCCTGCAGGATGTCACGTGAATCTTGAATGTTGACAATGTGTTGTCAACGCTCCTAACATAAGCCAATCATATTTTTGCATTGTGAGAGCAATGCACAATTTAAACTCTCTGGCTTAGTCAATAGTCCTTCCTTCCATGTCTCTGAATTTGACACTTTCTTGATTGTTTCTATAACTCGATAAAATCTTGAAAACAAAGTTGTTACTTTCTGGTGATTCCAGCTATTTATAAGAGTTTTATTTTTCCTAGCTTTCTATGGAGATCCTTGGCCGCAGAGTTGTTGAGTTTTTGGATGAGCTACCACTGGTTCCAGCTGCATGTATCCTCTTAGTGAGTAGATGTACAGAATATGCTGATGCGAAGAAAGATGAAATTAAAGGCCTAGTGACGGCAGTGAAAGGCTGCTTACCTAATTCATGTCCACTTATTGGATGTGTCGGAGCAGGAGTTATTGGCACAGGTGAAGGTGGATTTTCGGAAGAAGTAGAAATGGCTGAGGGTGTTGCCTTGATGCTCATGCCGCAAATAGAAGGTGTCTCAGCTGAGGTGATCAACTTGAACCTAACAGAGGTTAAGAACAACAGAACATTCAAATCTCGTTGGGAGAAATCTTTGAAAATTCCTACTGATGGGACAGTCAAGTGTGCCTTCCTTTTGGCCAAAGGGGACACTTATCATCTTGATGTTATAGGAAAAGTGGCATCTGGAATTTGGAAGGTAAAAATTGTTTGTAACCTTGGTGTCTTCACAAAGTTTGTTGTACTCTGGATCAAGCAGTCTGCATTTGAGCCCTGGCTGCAGTCACTGAATTGTCTTCTTGGGGAAGGTACTTATTACTCTGAGGTTGCCACTCTCCACCCAAGTGTATACGTGGGTGCCAGCAAACTATTGTGGCAATGTGGTGGGGATAGCAGTGAGAACTTGCAATGGACTAACATCTCTTCTAGGGGGATAAATAATTATAGCAAATTTCTTCCTTGCCATTGAACTGTAGACACAAGAATAGGTCTGCAACGTGTATATACACACCTGGCCTGGATATATTTTTTACCATCCCCTGGAACAGAATGCAAGGTGGTCATTTGTGTCATTAATTTACAGCATTTAGGCATTTGCAATCTTGGCATGAATGTAGACATGCAGTTATTTTAAAGTATAAGTCTGAGGAGGCACGGTGGCCTCATGGTTAGTGCACTCGCTTCCAGATTTAGTGGTCTGGGTTCGAGCTCTGGCCAGGGACATCTCTGTTCTTGGGCAAGACATTTCACTCACACATTGCCTCTCTCCCCCCAGGTGTATAAATGTACCCACAAATTTAATGGTGGGAGGTAACCCTGCAATGGACTAGCATCCCATCCAGGGAGGAGTAGAAATACTCCTGGTTGCTAAAGTCAATCTACAGAAACTGCATGGAGATAAGTGCCGGGTGATGGGCCACTTGATTCATATGCAACTTTACCTCATGTTACCTAGTCTAAAGGACTACTCCCTGGAAGTATGAATTATTGCTGCCTAAACTTTCAAGGCTGTACCTTTTTTAGTACTTGTTGCTCCATGCTGTTACCATTTGGGTTACCAGTGGCATATGGAGGAATCAAAACACTCTAACTTTCTCTACTATTTCCCTTTTTAGTATACGAGACAGCTTACTTAATTTTTGATTCAGGCTTTAACTCTATGTTGGTTCATGAACTTTCCTAAAATATAATGCTTGTTAGTACAGTATCATGCAACATACCTGAAAAGGTTTGATTATGTACAATAATTTAATTGTTATGTCTAGTTATACTGAACAGTTTATTTGGCTTTATGACTGATTTAGGTTTGCAACATTGACGAGGATGATAAGTCAGATGTGGTAATAATTGGTGGACTTGTTGAATCATTCTTGATGGTGGACAATGAAGTAAGGAACACTGGTGTTGTGGGCCTCGCAATATCTGGCAATGTGGAAGCCATTTCCATGGTTCATCATGGAGAAACTGCTGAAGGTGTTCAGCAAAGTTTGAAGCAGCTGCGAAAGTCTGGAATTTCATGCGAAAAAAATACAGCGTGTTTCATGGTGTCCTGCATTGGTCGTGGTGAGAAGTTTTACAATGCAAAGAATGTGGAGACTAAAATTTTCCGACAGGAGTTTCCTGGTATTCCTGTGGTTGGTTTCTTTGGCAATGGAGAGCTGGGTTTGGATCTCCATTCTTGCGAGGGAAAGCTTGAGCGAGATGGTCACTTTTTGCACTCGTATTCATCAGTATTTTGCTTGTGTTCCCTGTCACCACAATCTAATGACAGTTCAACTGAGGAGGGCACAGTTGCTTCTCATCCAAAGGTGTCTGATCATGTGAAAGGGAAGCCATCCTCAAGCCATTCTGAATGACTCATTAACAAAGTTTCCAATTGATTGTTTGAAATCTGTTGATGTTAAGGAAATGTTAAAGTTAGTCTGGTGAGGTAAAAGATTATAAGTTAATCAGATATCCTAAGTCCATTACAAACTATAATAATAGACTTCCAAAATATCTGTCAGTCCTCTAGGGTGCATTCCATTTAACAAGTCTAACTATGATTTCTATTCAAACCAATGCCAGCAGTTGTTAAATGAAACTAAGCTCATTGATAAGTATTCTGGTTGGCTGTGAGTACACTTAATACGCATTTGGAAAATGTTAAGTTTTTAAATGGTTGGTTGTTGTTGTTGTTGTTGTTAAGGTGGCTGACAACAGTTTTGTACATTTTCAAGTACTTATACTTTTGTGGATTATAACTACCAGTCACATTTATAGTAATGGTATTGAATGAATGGCCAATCATTGATGGAAACATTTTGGTCCATTGGTTTGACACAGCAGGTTACCATAACAACAGTATAACCTGAGGAAAGCACAATGAAGGTCATCAAGTTCCTTTTCAAGTTCTGTTTGAGTTACTAGCACTGAAAGCCTAGGTTAAGGGTATTTGTAGCAAGGAATACTGAACATTTCTTTGGTAACCTATTAAGTCAAGAAAGTTGCCAATTGAATGTTTTAACCTAGGATTGGGCATTCATTTGATACTATTATTGCAGCGTCCATTGTTGAAGAGAGGTAGTACAGGCCAGAAATGTTTGTCAGCCACTTTAAATCATAAAAAGTTCAAATTGGGTGGGTGAATCCTTCCCCCATTGTTCAAATTGTTCCACGTGATAGGTGAATTACCATCCATTGGTAAGAGTTAACACTGCATGATGCTATATAGTGATGTATCTCATTGATAGCATTTGTGTATACGTTGAGCAATTGGGGCTGGATGTTTACTATTTTGCACCCTTGAAATAAATTGAAGTACTGTAAATAATTATTTTAGAATCGAATCCATATTAATTTCTGTTATTGGATTGCTGTAATTGATGAATTCAACATTGATTACCACATTGTGGTCATCATCATTGTTTTCAGTGGGATTCTTGTTTTGTTAGTAGTAGATTTCACCTCTTGTTATATAATATCACTAAATACAGTCTTGTTCTGGTCTGGTGTCAAATTTAATTTTATCCAATTTATAATTTTCAATTATTAATTAAATAGTTTTTGTGTACTGTACAACCTTGAGCATGTGTGTGCTCATTGTGCATTTCCAGAAATGGCCACCCCAAGGGGTGGGGTTGGGAGGAGGGTTCAAACCAAAAAACCTTCTATGGGAGGGGTGTGGATGGAAGCAATGCATTTTAAATGTGTGCAAATTTCACCTATAACCTCCCTCACTGACCTATCATTGTGCTTGGTTGAATTGGTCCATTCATGTTTTTTAGAACATGGACTCACTCTTCTTAGTGTCTTGTTGCCTTTTAACACAGCACCTGCACTTCAGTGTATTTTTTTAAAATCATTGTAGCTGTAGCTTCACAACATCTTCCTTAAAAAATGAAGATGTCACCACATCTGGTAAAAATGAAGTGTCACCACATCTGGTAAAAAAGAAGACTGTTCTGGCAACTGTAAGCTCACCACTCTTTAAGTAATGTGTGTTGGTGTTTTTAAGTAATGTGTGTTGGCGTTTTTTAGTGGTTACACTGAGGGTGGAAAGTCTTTGTTGGTATGGTATAGCTTACAAATTATTTAATGAAAAACCTCTATATCTTAGAGCAACCATTCCGACTAATAAAAGTATTAATTTTCCAATATTTCTCTTGAAGGAACATGTGACTAGCCCTTACAACCTCTGCATCTGCATGGAAGGCTAAGCATAAATAAGAGCAGTGGCCTACCAGTTACACATTTATTTGGAGTTTGTAATTCTGTTAAATAATGCCATTTGGGGAATGATAAAAATTACTACCATTTTCAAAGCGTCAACAGCAAATTGCAATTGGAGATCTGGTTGATAAGGGTGGGAAGGGGTTGTTGCCCTTCCATTCCTTTTGTTTGCGAAGTAAAATCACTGTCCATAATTGGATGGGAAAAACTACGCAATCAACTGGGTGCTGATTTATCTGGTTGATAACATTATCCACCCTTTGAATATTTCTAGCACCAGCATTGATATAGGTCTCAATTCCTCTTTTACCAGACTGTTACAGACTGTACAAATTATCTATTGTCAGTTATTTAATTATTTTGGTATGAGGTATGCAACGAAAGTGAGGCCTTTAATTTAAAATGTCCTTTTGTTGAGTAGCAATTTTTTTTTCATTATAAGCACTTCAATGAAGAAGTCAGTTTAAAAGAACTTTGTTTTTATCCTCTGTTCTTAACTGGTTTTACTGTTTAAGTTTGCTGTTTCTGTAGAATTAAAAATAAATTAAAAATTAATTTACCCTGTCATATCAGTTAGTTTAATCACTGATATGATAAATGGTTATGTAAATGGACTTAATGGCACAAAAATTGTTAATCATTTTGGTAGTTTGTAATAAAATTAGCATTTCTTTTTTTGACTCTTTACCTTTTGAGCAGATATCTGCTTTAATGTTTTGTGACATGTGATGGAAATGTTGAACGTACCATTACTGAATGTATAATAGAGGCAGAGAAATGTTAGTGATACATGTAAATAAGTAGTAAATTAAATAGAGTTAATAAAGTTAGATCTCTTAACTAAACATGGCTCATCATACTTTTAGATCAGCTTCCTATCTTTGGCATTCCATGACAGCTCCTGAAAATCTTTTTAGCACAAACTAGTTTTCCCAATTTATGAAGAAATTGAGTTCTCTTGGATGTCAAAATGAATTGCCATGACAACACAGAAAGAGGTGCAGCATTCTTTAATTTTGGAAGTTTTAATGCCTACTAAACTGTTTGGGACCATTTGAAACTCATTACTGAAAAGTTTTTTTTTTAAATTTTTTATGCAAAATGAGAACAGTGGATGCAATTGCATTGCAATAAAGAATGCTATTTTTGACCTTTTTACCTATTTTAGACTATATTGGAAGTTGCTAGAAACTTCTCCTGTTGGCAGAATATTTTTTTTGGTGATGGTCAGCAGGTGTTGCAAAACTTCCACTTCCCCTTCTGCTTTTCCTTCCTCTTACCTTCCCAGCTGACTGCAATTAGCTCAAATGAGAATAGCAATAACTAATTAATAAGTCTGATGTTTTTGCTTAGATGTTCTTCCTCTCCCGGTCCTTTCAGGAAATTCCTCTTTCCTGCTGCTCAATCTTCCTGTGGCTGACCCAATCTATTCCTTCTGCTTTCCCATCACAAATATTGATTCGATTTATAGAGAACGTTGCACATGATAGCAATACTTCTTCACTGTTGGAAAATCTTGGGACAGATTTCTGAGCTGAAGGAAGCGAAAATCAGATAACTCTGCCCTTTCACTATATGGGCCAATCAAGGAAGTGAACTGGTCTGTACTTGCAGTTCATGTGGAACACACGAGATGTCACGTGATACCGGCGTTTTCACACCAATCGGAAAGCGCGAGTACGCCATGAGCTCATTGTTGGTGGGAATGCAATGGCGATACAAAAAGTTT